TGTACATTTCATCGGATATTTTTGTTTTCAACAATTAAATTCGATTTACGGCTAAATGATAAGAGTTATAAAAAAATTGACATATACTTTTTTGTAGAGTATTAAACTTCTTACAAAAAATGCTCCTTATAATTTTTTCGTATCTCTAATAATTTAGCCAAAAATATAATATTTAACGAGAGAGTTTAATGAAAAATCTGTAGAAGTAATTTTGAAAAATAATTTCTCGTATCAGAATTGCCGTATAATTGGATTCGTTGTGATTATGTAGGGCAGACATTGAACGATCACCTTAACTCTAAAAGCTTCTCAACCCCTTCAGCCTTTCTTCGTTCCTTACTCTCGGCGTACTTCTTGTACTACTCGGTCGTCGTGAGTCTTATCGGAAAAAACAACACTGCCGGGTACGAATATACAGTACAGCACACTGTACTCGGTACGTCACACAAGTGTGTACTTACCTCCACCAATCTATGTACATCAGCATAAATGTAGGTCGGTCTGAATTTATTAATAAACTTCCACACTTAAATAATAAATATATTATTTAAAACATAAAAAACACACCGAGTTTTGGTGAATTCACCTGAGAGTTCCGTCTTTGGATCTAAAACCACCGACAGCAAGACAAAAGACTCGAAAAGGAAAAAGAAAGGTTGAAAGATTATATACTTCTGTTTGAAAATCGAGATTCAAGAGTCAAGATTGGATTTTCCATTAAAAGTGTTGTTACAGGGTCGCACTATATTGTATATAGTACTGTACACCGAACACTGTTATTACATTTTAGTTTGATACGATAGGGTATGAGATGAGATCGTTTCAATTTATATCGGAGTTGTTTCGTAAATACGAATCCGATTACCGTCTAGTGATTGGGTATTCTATTTTTTGCTGATAAAACTTAACCGATACAAAAAACAAAACCCTTCTTTATATTTACGGTACAGTAAGCCATTTGCATTTAAAGGGATTAGTGTAATTTCGAGTTTTATTTTTATTGCTGGATTATTTGCATGTGCTAATTTACTGAGTTTTATCGAAAAGCTACCGAATTAAGTGTCGCTTTCACTTAAAAGGGATAGCCACTGTGAGGATCGAAAAAATAGGTGATTTTCAGGAATTTTTTTGACTGGGATAATAAAGGAATTTGGAGATCGGGTTTTTTTAGGTAGATTTTGTTAGAAATCTAACTATTGCATTTGTCCTCATGGTGGAATTTTCAACTGATTTTGCTATCATATGTTATAATAAGTCAAGTAAGTTCCAAAAATACCATTGGTTAAAAAATTTATCTATGTATATATATATATATATATATATATATATATATAACGCGGCTTGTGGACACGATAGCGTCTACAATTCTCAACGGATTTAGATGAAACTCGGTACACATATTCTTTAGGTAATTACCTTGAACGAGTTCGAAGACGAGCAAAATCGGTCATTTAGTTTAGAAATGGCGGCTATTTAAAATTTTTAAAATAGTGAAAATCACATTTTCGGTTACTTTATTGATGTATAACTTTTGATTGAACAGAGATAGCTCATTTTCGAAAAATTCATATGATAGCTCATAAAATTACCTTCAATTTGATGTATACAGCATTGACATTTTAACCATTTTTAGTTATTTTATTAAAGTTAAGAGTGCAACTGAACCATTTTCAGGCAATGTGTAGTACAACCGACTTATAAATGTTATTCTATCGGGAATTATTAACAGATCCTAACACAATTTAGTATATAGATTCCTTGGACAATCAGCTTGCATGAGCCCTAAAATGAGCGAAATTCGTAAATTAGTTTAGAAATGGTAGCTCCTCAAAATTATTAAAATAGTGAAAATCACGTTTTCGGTGACTTCATTGTTGTATAACTTTCGTTTGAAAAGAGATTGCTAATTTTTGATAAATTCATCTGAAAGCTCATAAAATCGTTTTCAATTTGACGTTTATAACATTGACATTTTGACCATTTTTAGTAATTTTTTCAAATTTAAGTCCAATTGAATCATTTTTAGGCAATGTGTAGTACAACCAACTTATGTACGTCATTCTATCAAGGATTTCATTCAGTGAAATCTACCTTCCATTTCGGGTCTGGCCGAACGGCGTTTTTTTTTTTTTATTTATAAAGTATACATTGAAGATCATTCTCCTAAATTTTGATTAAAAAATATCATGTTGTTACAAAGTTATAAGCATTTTTGTGCACTGAGAGACAATTTTATTTAATAGTGATGAAATTTTATTATTATTTAATAAAACGTTTATTTGGCTAAGCCCAAATAAAAATTTTCTTAAATACTAATAGATTTTATTAAATACTAGGGGATTTTGAAAATTTGGATTGAAAAAAAAAATGGTGACATATTAAAAATTTTTTTCTCATTTTTTTGGATTCAAACGTCCTTAAAAAAATCTTGAAAATCCAAATTTTCAAAATCCCCTATGTGCAACTCCAGCTACTGAATAGACTAATACGGAAAAAAAAGTTGCAAATCGGTTTATATTAATGCAAATTACAGATCCCACCAGTTCAAAAAAGTAGTTTCGAGAAAAACGCATTTTCGTTGGAGCGCCGCGCGTGCATGGTCATTCGAAACGCTGTCACAAAAATGACTATAACTCGAAGAATATTCGGAATTTTCACATAAAACTGTAGATACATATTTTAGAATGTATAAACTTTGATTGAATAACAAAAAAAAATTTTTTTTTTTAATTTCACAGTGGCTATCCTCCTTGAACAGCGAAATGTTTGATGAATAAGTCACTTATTATTCACTCTTCACTCTTCACTTATTATCATGACAGTAAAAAAAAATTCGATTCGTTATATGTACTCTAATAATATTTTTCTGGTAGCGAGAAAGCTTGGCCATCTAGCGCTGAAACTAAAAACTAATTTTTAATAAAAAGTATAAGTTATTAGATATTGGTTAAAATTAAACTTTATCGTGATTCTAATTCAAAATTAAAAGGATAAATTCCTCAAGCTGGGTTAGGTATAGTCTTGATAATTTTTTCATATTTCTAAATTTTAATTAATGTTATCAATTCAAAATAAGTTATGATATAAACCCGTGAGCGGTACGACGGATGTATCAAATTTTAGGAGCAAGTAGCAAGTGTACAGAGTAAATCAATCAAGCTTAAAATCTATTCCGATATATATAGCTACAACGTTGTATAGGAGATCGCTAAGATTAAACGTAAAGTTTGAGTCGCTGTATAATCTCATGCTTGAGCCGTCTTAGAAACTCCGATCCGAAAATGGATCTTAATCAACTTCGAATAAAACTTTATGTAATTTAATTCAATTTATTATCATTTCCGTCAGCTAACTTCAACCAAAATATCAAACTGAAGATTAGAAGCTCTAAAGGAAGGTATGAATATTTTTCCATTTTTTAGTGCACCAATTTTTAAAGTTATTGTGAAACGTGACGGAAATTAAGAGAGATATGGAGGTAAAATGGTGTTAAGATTTTAATGTTATATTGATAATGCCTGTCAACATAACATCGACGTGCATTTTTATCAACAATTTTTGTTGGTTTTTATTTAAAGTTGAAAAAGATTCGAGAATTGATAACAATAATATTTTTTTCCTTTACAAAAAGATATATAATAAAAAATAAAAAATCCAAGTAATCGATATGATTGTATATGATTTTTGGGAATTAAAAAAAATGTTGTAAATTTAAAAATTAAAAGAAACAATTTTGGAACGTACTTAGTGTGCGTCATTGTGTACTTCAAATTTTTTTTAAAGTCCTAGTAGATAGATTTTAGGAATTTCATAAAAAGTGAAATATTTCATAACCATGCACACTAAATACGTTCTAAAATTGTTTCTTTAAATTTTTAAATTTACAACAAAATTTTTTTTAATTTCCGAAAATCATATACAACCATATCGGTTACTTGGATATTTTAATTTTTTATTTTATATCTTTTTGTAAAGAAATAAAATTTTTTTTTCTTAATAGTCTTATGAACGTGGATTTGGCGCGATTTTTTTACAGTGAAACTGTTTTTGTTCGGATTTGTTATAACAACTACTACCGAGTGCTTCTTTTAAATTAATAAAATTGTAAGCAATTATTTATATTAAACTAAACTTTTAAACTATTAAACTTTTTATTATTTTTTTCAAAATCTATCAGTGGTTCTAATAAGCCAATTTAAAAATTTGTAATAAAAAAAATTAAATGAAAGAAAGAAATTTTAATAAAACTAATTTTTGAAATTTCTTGTTAATTTATTTTTAATGTAAAAAAACCATTTATTCAATTCAAACCAGTAGTTGTCTGGTTCGAACTTTCAATCCTGGTCAACAGAGTGCGCGCTGGTTGTCATTGCGGCCAACTACAAAATTTATTTTTTGTCACACCTAGAAAAAATCGTCTCGTTATGTTGGCTAAGCATTGTAGCTGACTTAAAACAACTGCCTAATCTAGAAGCATTATTGAGTGAGCACCCACGGAGTACGGTCCTTACAGCAAGTTATATATATTCTAGTTTTTATCTCAAAGGTTACTGCAGTTCTGTGTATAGTGTTAGTTACATTCTACCTACGTGTTATAATTCACGACATTTTCTAGAAATTGTTAAGTGCAACATTTTTCTATTCTGAAATTATCGAGTGAAAATATCAATTGTATTGTTGGATAGTTCTTGAATTTTCGTCGACAAGACTTAAAATTAATAAATTGTTGAAATCGTTGACATCATCATCAAATAACTCAGGACTGAGAACCTTCTACACAAGAATAGCTCAATAGTATAACCTAACCATATTTTGGTTATTTTTTCGTGATTTCATTGATACATCGGACTCCGACGTGGCACACGATTAAATATACCGAAAAATAGTGTAAAATCAAAAATTTATAATTCATTATTGAATAAAGTGATTTTTAGTGGTTACTATAGTAAATAACGACTCTCATTTTTTAATTAAAAAAAATTGTAATTGTTATCAAGATAATGGAGTGTAAAAGGGAGACAGGCATAGATATCGATAGAGTGCGTGCTGCAATTTATAAATATCGTTCAGCAATATGTGAAGCTTTTTCAAATCATCGAATCGGACTTAATAGCACATTTTTTAATGATAAAATAATTAACAACGCACCTATTAAAACGACTGGACCTTTTGCTGGATACACAGCATTGCATATAGCTTGTATGGATGGAGATAGAGCACTTGTAAAATCATTAACTTAATTGAAGACTACCATGCAGATGTAAATGCTGTTGCTGACGATGGATCTCAACCTATTCACTTTGCGTGTTTATTCGAGATGCCTTTGGGACTTATAGATATTTTGTTAGAAGCTGGTGCCAACGTTGATGCTGAAATAAGTCAAAAACTTTTTGTAAAATACATTAGATGGAAAAGGTGGTACAACGCTTTTGGGAATGAGATGACTTTGCTAACTTTTTCAATTTTATATGATTTTAATGATTTGTTTGTGATAAGATTAATCAAAGGCAAAGCCAATTTGAAAGTTAAGAGTCTGGAGAATAAAACACTGTTGATGTATGCCATTGATTTGGAGAAGAACACAATCGCACGGTCACTCATAGAAGAAGTAAAAGATCATGAATGGATAAACGCTTGTGATAATTGTGGTTATCCTGCTACCCACTATAGATTATATCCAAATAATGTGGGAACTGATCTATACTTTGATAGTGGTAGTGCATTAAGAGATGATTCGACTAGCGCTGTTTTGATTCGCGAATTACTTGTCGCCGGTACTGATGTTAACGCAACCATAAATAATGATCCAAGTACTCAATTGATCAATATAGCGGCTCGCAAATGTTTTCCAGAAACACTGAGGCAATTGTTGCCTTACCATGACAATACTTCAAAATCAACGGCTTTGCATTACTTATTGCGTCCACTTAAAACTAGAAAGAGAGAATCTATTTCTTGTGGAAAAATGACATGTATCGAGTTGATTCTAAAAGACCTTCTTTATAGACGTACATTTGGTTTATTCGTTCCTGAAGATGAAAAAATATTGATGGACAAGTTAATTGCTGAAGACATATATTTCAGGGAGCTAGGACATATCTACGAACAAAATATTATTCAAGGGGAGTTAAAAGAAAAAGTGCTTAAGTATGATGGTAAAATTATCACGTATTATGACTTCATAATGTTATGTTTTGATGATAAACAATTACGCTTAATAGTGAAAAATAAATCCTTAATAGACGCTTTCGAGAATACCTTCGCACAGTCTAGACTTCCTTCTTATACTAGGGAATTTATGGATGTCCCTCATTTTCCTGATTATTCTATGGAATCTTTAAATGCTGATTATTTTTTCTTCTGGAAACAAATTTCGATTAGATTAGAAGAAACTTCAAGGAGACTTGAACAATTAGAAGCATTAAAAAAAATTCCAAATCTCCGTAAAGCTATCCCCTTTGCCATATGAATTGGTAATAATAATAGTTGAACACTTTAATTATCAAGACTTTAAAAATTTTCTTCAGGCTTTTTATTTATAATATATTCACTTTTGTAAACAATACCAAAAAATTGTTTTTGTAGTAAATAATAACGAATAGGAAAGAAATGATTACCTTAGTATTTATTTATTTGCATTGTGTATTAATATAAACCACATTATTGTAAATATTAAGTTACTTCCGAGAACTTATTGTAATATCATTTTTATTTATAAAATTAAAATGTTTTGTGTTAAATTCCACATGTGAAAATTAATAAAAATAAACAATAAATTAGTATATACAACTTTCCTATGATCTAAATAAACACGCCAGGACTGTGAAATTGGAGGGAAGTCAGAGAATTGGCGGCGCCACCGCTGCGGTTGCTATGGTAACGCAGTATAAAGTTTTAGCTTCAGAAAAAAATTAGGTATTCTCAGGAGAAAAATACCAGTTTTTTTATATCAAGAAAACGTTTATTGGATATAAAAAAACTTGTATAAAAATACCTTGTATTCTGGGTGGAAAAAAATTTTTTTTTCAGTGTAACAAAAGACGGTATAACTGAAAAATTTGTTCTGGTAACAAATGAGTGTCGTTATAGCAACAAATCTATTAGCTGCATTAACAAAATGTTTCAAGTTGTACTAACAAACCAATTTGTTAATTCACAAAGTTAATTTGTTGCCCTAACGAAATCATTTTGTTGCTGTCACAAAATGACTTTGTTGCTGGTAAAAAATGATTTTGTTGCAATAACAAAACTAATTAGTTGTTAAAATATGTTCCAAACCAGCTGTAGCTGATTATATCATATTTTTAAATTATATTTTCTCTTAATAGTTTAACAAATTGTCTTTGTTACTCCAACAAATTCTCTTTGTTATTTTAATAGTATAATTTTGCTGTTTCAACAAAAAAATTTGTTGTACCAACTAAAGTATTTGGTCGAATCAACTTAAAGATTTTGCTATCGTAACAAACAAAACTCTTTTATTGTTATAACATATCAATAACTTTGTTATATCCTAAATTTTGTTATTTCAACTTATAATTTGTTATCCTTATGTTAACAAATTCATTTGTTACCACAACATATCTTAGGTTATCTTAACAAAATTTTTTTCTGCGTGCGCTCAATCTACGATTTTAACGTTCAATACGTTGAATCTACGATTTAAATTCCGACTCGGGAAGTAAAAATATAAGGTGTTGTAAAGAAAAGAATCTCATTAAATTATCATTTTTTATTTGAGACATTTATAAAATTTGAAATTAAACAAGTTTTCAACCTATCAACAATAGATAGATAGATAGATAGATAGATAGATAGATAGATAGATAGATAGATAGATAATAAATTTTATTTGATCCTGGAGTTCTAAGCTCCTTCAGGACCATCATCAATACATAAAGTTAATTATTTACAAGTATACATTTGATACAGCATTTGCAATACAATTTGAAAATCAACATTAATTAATAACTATCATCTTAACTTATAAGATCAATGGTAATCATATTGATTGCAAGAAGAAATTAAAACAAGCTTGCTTAAAATTTTCAAAGGTGTCAATTTCTGTAATATCTCCCGGTAATGAATTCCAAATTCTTATGCCATGAATTAGGAAAGAATTTTCATAGATAGCAGAATTACTTCTCGGTAAACGCAGATAGTCATTCCTGACGTCACCTCTCCTCAATGCAATTGGCAAAAATTCTAATTTTGATCTAAACAATTGATTATAATTTAATTTAATTTCTTTATAAAATAGACAAGCTATGAAATAATTTCTTCTCGCGTTAAGTTTTAACCAGCCCAATTCTTTATAATATGGAGTAGTGTGCTCGAATCTCGAAATTTTGAAAATATACCTAATACAAGAATTTATTTTACGCTGCAATCTATTCTGTAATTTGCTTGATATATTCGTGTAAGCAGCACAACAGTAATCGAAGATGGGAAAAATCAAAGTCATGACCAATTTTATGTGTAATTGTTCATTAAAAATTTCGTTATTGATTTTCAATTGCGCCAACGTTTTCATAGCACGATTGCATACACTTGCGACTTGATTTTCCCATGTTAAAGTATTATCAATGATGACGCCCAAGTATTTAACCGTTTTAACATACGGAATCACATGATCACTCACAACTACATTTTGGGCATTTTTACAATAATCACTGTTAATTTTTTGCCTACTTCCAAGAATAATAGCACTTGTTTTTAAGGCATTTAATTTCAGACAGTTGAAACTACACCAATCGACAATCTTTTGTATTTCATCATTCAGCATAATAACATATTCATTTATTTGCGACAGGCAACATGAAGTATATATAATTAGATCGTCTGCATAGAACAAATATTGACAATTTAATCGCTTAGCAAGATCAGCAATGTACAGAGTAAAAAGTAAAGGACCGAGCACACTACCCTGGGGTACGCCGTAACAATAGACAAATTGAAACATTTAAACTAAACTCCACTTTTAACAGCATGTGCATTATGCATTTAATTACTTATATTCTAAATTTGGAAGATTTCTTGAAATTTTGCTCGCATGACTCAACTACCTTAAGTCACCAAATCTCCTTGAATATTAAAGATAGCTTTATAGTATGAAAACATTTTTTGTAGGAAATTTTGTAAGCTGCAATTTTTGTCTCTTATGATTTTCCAATAAAATGAATATTTCAGGAGTTGTAGCAATTTGTTCGAATGAGTAAATAACAATAATTTAATGTTTAATTAAAAAATTTTCTTTCCAAATAAAAATTATTGTTATTATTTAAATACAAGTGTAACATGGAAATAAATGATGCAAATGCCGAGGAATTAAGATAATTGATATCATTGAAATCATTTAAAGAACAAATAGAGCAGGTATTAATGTTTACGCGTAATCTAGAGTTACCTTTGACACCGATTGCGCATAAATCGATTCGCTGAATGAACATAACATGTATTGATATAAATATAATAATAATCCAGGATTACAAATTTGATATTTTTTAAATAAAATTGTATTTAACGAGTCGCAGAGAGCTTCCATTCATCGACCGCCCGGCCATTTAGTTTCAATTATAATTATAACAATAATAATAGTACAGCGAGATTTATTTATTTATCGCTCCCCGATTCACTGAAATTAACTATCCCGATAAAATAAACGAGCGATCTATAAATTTATAAATGTATAAATGAATATTGTCAACAGAACATTTATTTCTTCTATCCCGGGCGTAAAATCGTGGGAAATTGACAATAGGATTTTATTTTGATAGTTTTTATTAAGTGAAAAATTTCAAACAGTTAATCGATTGGAAAAATTGAGTATAAAGAGATGGGTTTAATTTCATGTAAACAGTGGATAATAAACGTTAAAGTATCATTGTTAGAAGACGGCTATTGTTGATAAGTCCCTCAAGAAATCAACAAACACAAATCACGAATAATGCTAAAGTAAAATATTAAAAAAAAAAAAAAAAAGAAATTACAAGAGTACACTGTTGAAGCAACCGAGATATTTCCCATGGGGAATCTTGGGTTTATTCATTCGACAAACGGTTTTATTTATTACCGTTATTATTATTTTGTTTTTATCGATATTACTCGAGTAATCGACGAACGATATGACCAATGATATTTTAAAACGCAACCGAGTTGTTTTAAAACTTGGAACGTTAAATAGTTAACTTACTGACGCATTTTTGGTTATTATTTAATTAAAATTTTAGAAAAGTAGATTTCTCAAATAAAAAAAATTTATTTCTTATAAAATAATAATAATATATAAATTAATTAATTTATTAAAAAAAATTTCAATAATAAATTTAAAACTAATTTTGTTCAAAAAATTATCTTGTAAAGTAAAAAGTTTCTCGAATATTTATCAAACAATTTTGAAGATTATGAGATTTTATTTATCAATGTCCAAATTTTAAGTGACTACTTAGGAATGACAGTTCCCAAGTTAATCAAAATTTTGAGACCGGATAAAATTTTAATTGAAGAAAACAATATTTAGGACTAATTTGTGACGTATTTACTGACAACCTACCCGAATACATTACACGAAAGACTGATCAATATTATGATTATTGAATCTACATCATGTTTATACTATGATACAGCCAATAATTCTAAAACGGCTGCAACATTAAAACTGTTTCATTAAACAAACTCTAAAGGGAGTAATATTGAGGCAATTGCCATTTCTAGGGAGTAAAAATTAAAGCTTAATAAAAGAGTTTTACGATGTAATTTACCGAATTTGAATATCTTGTCTAGTTCAGTAATTACACCAAGTTGAAGTGGTAAAAACATCAATTTTCACGATTTTCAAAATTTTTCTTCCTAATTATTTTCTTGAGCGAAAAAAAAGTTTTTTTTTGACACAAGAAATTTCACTTATTCCAACAAAATTAATTCTCTTGCTGTTAGAAATACATATCGACGTTCTAATTAGCAAATTGTCTAACTTCATTTTAGAGAATCTTCCATTTGTACGAAAAAACGATTAGTTTAAAATTTATTATCACTTTAAAAAATAATTTAATATCTAATAGAGGTATACAATTTTGGTTTGGATCATTCAAATAATTTATAATTAGATTATTGCATCATTAAAATGTTAAAAAATCACCCTCTAAAAAATAAGGAGTTAGACCAATTGCTAATTAGACCGTCGATATCTTGATCCAAGAAAATTTATTCAAGTCAAGAAAATGTTCTTGCTTTGAGAAAATTCAGCCTCTTGCTCCAAAAAATTTAGTTCTTGATAGAAGTAAATTTTCTTGTCTTGAGAAAATTTCTCTCTGGCTCCAAAAATTAAATATCTCGATAGAAGTAAATTTTCATTAATGTTTTTATTGATCAATCTGTCAAATGGGAAGATCAAATAATATTGAATCTTTTTTTTTCATTCAATATGTATAATTGCACGCTAAAATAATATAAAATGGGTATCAAATATTCAAAAGAAAAATTTTCTCAAGGTGAGAAAATTTTTTTCTCAGCTGAAGTAGGTGGCGCTGCTTCCCTAAAGTATCTAAAAATCTTGATCAAATATAAAAATTTATTGTATCAAGTATTTATGATAATTTGAAATAAGAAAAATTACTTCCACCAAGAATAGAATTTCAAGAAAAATTTTTACTTCGGCCAACACAACTTCAGTCTTCCTTCAGGCATCCGAAAATTTTCTTGAGCCAAGAATTTTGTTCTTCAGTCAAGGAATTTTTCTTTTTGTGTATAGGAAACCCGGGTCAAAAAATTTAGTCTGTTTTATGATTAATAAAATTTTTTAATATTTTTCATTCAATTTAATTTTATTATGTGTATCTATTTTATATGAGAATTTAATCTGTTTTTGCCTGTATTATTCACAATTCAGACCAATTTCAGATCATTTTTAATGTTATAATAAAATTGTTTTCTATTGTTTCAAGACCAAAATCAGACTTTTTTCGTCACAATCATTTAGCTGGTTTTGATCGCATCAAGGTCAAAAACAGACCAAAACGTTCTATAATTTTTAGTCGGTTTTTCATCGCCTGTAGATCAAAAATCGACCTTTTACGAATTTGATAATAATAATATTAATAATAATAATAATAATAATAATTTTATTTATTATTATTTTATTCATGTCCTTGAAGATCCTCTACAGGGCACGGCTTTTCATTTTCTGAAACTGAAATAGTGACGATTCACTATTTCGTAGTGCAATGTATATCAAACGGTATTCTTCGCACTACCAAATGGTGAATACCGCTCATTAAATGATGCATGGAGGTATTAAATTTAACATTAATCTTGTCAACATTTTAATCTTGTCTCGATGTATTCACGTTGTGTTTAATAACGATAATTAGAAAACTATGGATTTAGATCCATAATTAAACGATGAGAACTATTTTATAAACGTATATTAATACAAATTTATTAGTTATCACTGCAACTAATATTCGCAGTTACAAAACTTTCATAATCCATGAAATGTTGAGCTATGACAAATAAATATGACAGATGTAAGGTTATAATCGACGTTCAGTTTATAAAACAAGAGAGCGCATGAATATATTATAAATTAATTTATTTTTTTAAATAAATGCGACTTATAATTTTTAATGAGATACTTTTAAGTCCAAAAAATTATAAGTCACCATCTCAGTCGACTTTTGGCCTTCGAACATTTAGAGTGAAAATTGTAAATCAAAAACAGTATAAGATTTCATATTGAATTTGAAAACAATATATAAAGTCCATCTACAAATTAACTAGACTAAAAACCGATCAAACTTTTAAAACTTTTTAGTTTCATTAGATTAGAAACAGCATAAAATATTCATAGTTGCTCAATTATTTTACTAAAATGTTATTTAGACTTAAAACAGATCAAAAATAATTTAAATAGTAGATGAAATACCGATAAAAATGTTTTTTAAAGTTCAAATACAGATCAATAAGTTCAAATGCAGATCATTTAGCTTAAAATCAGTTTAAATTTTTCGACTCTGGTAATTTAATTTTTTGAACGAAGTCCTTATCAATTTTTCCGTATTTTTTGAATTTGATTTTAAGCGAACTTGAGTAAATCATGGGTTTTCAAAATTTGAAATCAAAATTTTGGGTTAAATATTGTAGATACGGAAAACTTTTGGCAGGAAATTCAATTTTCTGGAGAAATAGTTCTCATCAATTTGTCTATATTTCGCACCCTAGAGCCAGAATATTTAATCAAACACAAAATTTCGTGGAAGTACTACTACAAAAATTTTTTAAATCTAAAATTTCGTATCTTTAAATTTTTTTTTTTTGATAAGCTTTGAGAAAAGAAATGTTTTTTGGAAAAAAATTTTAAGTTTAATTTCTACGGACTTAAGTTTTAAGAACCATGAAACTAAAAAATTTTGATTTCTCTGCATGACGGGTAAAATTCAGGTAATTTCATAACTAAAAGAAGATTTTCATTGAAGGAAAACTGGCAAATCACTTTCCACCGATTGTCAGGGGTGAAATGCTGTTGAACTTTTAACTTCCAGACCAACGCGTGGGTTTTATAAAAAATATTATATTAAATTCGCATTAGTCCATTTTGCTCGAATAACTTTAGGTAACATTAATTTCCTTTATTTATTTAATTTAATTTTTTTTTCCAACTTTTACATTATTGAACTCAAAGCTCTCACTCAATTATCAGTGCATGCTACTTATCCGATGCGAACTTTTTAATTAAATTACAAAAACCAGTCTAGAGTGTCAGTAACAACAACTGGAGAATAAGGCCACGGATAATAATAAATATAATCGTTATTTTTGCCAGAATAAAAGGGTGAGTTTCTTTTAAAATAAGTTTACAAGTCATATTGTGAATTATTTCCTCAGAGTATTCAACTACGCGCTAATTAAATTCCAAGATAAATTGTTTTATTAAATTATCATTATTATTTTTATTTTAATAATAATAATAATCATGATAATAATATTTCACATTAAGATTATTATTTTTATTAAAAAAGAAAACCACCGGGTCCCCTTACTTAGATACCAAATTATTTAATTATTATAAAAATAGCTATAACTCGTGAAATATTCATTTTATCGACAAATCATAAGAGAATGCCAGGATTTCAAAATTTTCAAAATCGTAAAAATTCACATTTCTTCACTTTCTTACTTGAATAACTTTTAAATGGGATATCTTATTGAATCTCTGTAAATTTCATCTGAAAGCTCTTTAAGCAAGCTTTAATTTGAGTGCCATATCATAAATGTAGTCTCAAAATTATGTCCTATTCCACTATGCCAATTATGAAATTTGCTGTTGCACTCTGTTTCAGGTCACCTGATCCACCTGTAGTCAACGCTCCTGTATTAAGAACAAGTAAACGGGATAATTATTATAACATATGGATCATCCCAAGCGAGGAGTCGCGATTATATTTAATAATAAAATTTTTGATAATGGTTTGCCAAAACGGGATGGCACTGAAGCTGATTGCCAGGCACTTACGAAATTGTTGAGATTATTGGAATTCAAAATTGATTTATGTGAAGATTTCACTAGGGAAGAAATAAAAAATTAGCAGAAGGTAATTTGTTTCAATATTTTTATTTAAAATTTATTTGTAATTTTTAATTTGTAGGGAAGGTGAGGAAAAATGGGGTAGAGGTGGCAAAACAGGGTACCCCTAAAAATTACATGATAGATGTGATCTGAGACATTTCTTACTTTACTTCCCTCGGTGTTTAATATACTATTTTTTTCCTAAATATTTATTTCAATATTAGCTTCCTAACTTTAATGGATAAAAAACTATACACATGAAACTTGGATTATAGCAAACTATAAAAACAACTTAATAATAATACATAAGTGTTATTTTTTTAACGATATTTTATTTTCGGATAATAATTTTTTTTTTTTACTTTTTCAGGGGGTAACCCATTTTGCCCGCAAAAAAGATTTCCTCAAGTACCCCGTTTTGTCCCCCCCTCCTTCTCCGCCCTATATTAATTTATTTAATAATTATAATTTTAGTGGCTACTAGAGACCATTCAGAAAACGACTCTTTGTTTATCGCAGTGATGAGCCACGGTGGCAAAAATACAATTTACGCCAAAGATGAGGTGTACGATTCGGAAAAATTGTGGAGCGCATTCACAAGCGATAAATGTCCGACATTGACTGGAAAGCCAAAGCTGATTTTTTATCAATGCTGTCGCGGCGACGAAAAGCACAAAGAGACCATTGTAAAACCACCTATTCAATCCGATTAAGGTTCTGATGACAATTACGGGATACCAGTTCATGATGATTTTTTGTTAATGTACGCCACACTAGAAGGTAGATAAACAAAAGAATAGCTTTATTTAAATTAAGTAAAAATTATTTCAATCAATTTAACAATTTCTTGAGCTAAGAATATATATTCTTGAAAATTTTCAAGAACATAAATTCTTGTATCAAGCGAATTTTCTTAATAAAAATATTTTTTTCGAATATTTTTATACCATATCATATTCGATTCGATTCGATCCGAACGATATTCGCACACCCTTACTATATAGCTATCTTCTATATTAAGCAATGTTCTTTATCCAGTAAGTACGAGAATGATCATAACTCCTAAAATATAGTTTGAAGAAAAAAATGTGATCATTGTTATTATTTTCCCATAGATGCAATAAAATATCCAATCGAGTTGTCAAAGAAGTATCAAAGTGGCTTAAATATCCGAATCTAATTTTTATTGAATTAGCCCAAAAGTTTAAGCTACCTGTCAGCAAAAATAAAGAACAAAAAAAAAGAGTTAATCCTTAAATCCCACTTCTAATTACTCAAGAGTTCAAAAATTGCCCGAATATCTTCAATAACTGTCTCCATTTATTTTATTTACAAACTTTCTATGCCACAGTGATAAAAAAAAATTACTTCATTAGATGTAAAAAAATGATCACCTAATATTTATCCTCCACTACAATACATTGTACGTCTCTAAAAAACACAACTAAGAGCAGGAATAAATTTTTTTAATGATAAAGATAACATAAAAAGTAACCAAAGAAAATGACATAACCAAAAGAGAATAAGATAAAAATAACAATGAAAAACAAGGGAACTCGAGCTGATCGCCAGAGGTGATAGTTTCGAAAGATGCAACAGGCCTTCGTATAATGTAATCGTTAGAAACGAAACTTGAAGCGCATTTCTGATATCAAACTCTCTGGGGATGTTACAAAAATCGAAAAAATAAATAAAATAAATATAAGAGACAAAAGTTTAAAAGGCAGCTCTATAGAGGAGAGCAAAGTCCTTTCTAGTTTCCCGCCTAATATAAAATTCTTTTAAAACTAATGATACTTTTTATTTAGTAAGCACGGGAAACTTTTTATCCGCTCGGAACATAATTTTCTGTCTTTTGAATTTCCGACAAAGGCCTAGCTTTTTATTTATAATGCACCGAAAATTACCATACATGGAAAAAAATTTTCTTTAAAAATTACCTTCAAAATGAGAGTAATGTTGCTCAGTAGTGCGGTTGAAAGAGATGCTTTTTTATTCAGGCTTGATGAATGACATTAATAAGCTGCATTGATAATAAATGACATTACAGTGATGTAATTATTTAACATAGTTTTTGTCAAGGTAACATATTTATTCTCTTTATGAGTTTTGTAATTAGAAAATGAGAGAAGATTTTTTATTCATTTCAGAAGTTTTAATTTTTTTGGGTAGCTTCAATTATTTTTAACTTCCCGCTAAGAAAATTGAAAATTTTCAAAAATCGGGAAGTTATTGGTTTTACCCCGTTTTTCGAAAATCTGAGTTTTCATCAGATCTCGACGTTTTGAGGTCCTAGGAAGCTTTCCTGACTATTCCTGCGAGGGTGTCACTATGTCTGTATGTATGTATGTGTGTGTAAGTATGTAAACCTTTTATAACTTTTGAACGGTTGAACCGATTTCATCGTGGTTGTTGGTGCCATTCGAAATGGCTTCGCCAAACTTAGATTTCCTGAAAATTTGAACCGATTCGGACCGATAGATTTTGAGAAATTTGGAGAAATCTAAAAAAAAAAGGAAAAAAAATTTTTTCAGAAGTGGTTTTTTTGGAATAACTTTTAAACGGCTCAACCGATCGATTCCAAAAACTAATCAACTCTCAACCTTGAAAAATCACGCCGATCGCCGCCAATCCGGTCAAAATCGGTTGATTCGTTCGAGAGATACGTGAACGAAAGAAAACCGAAAAAAGTGTTTTTTCGGAGTTACTCCGAAATTTCTAGTTTGACCAATTGAAACTTAGAAATTCTTTATGAGGCTTAAAAAACTGCGTAGAATGCCGCAGACCGCGTAAAAATCGGTTCATTCATTCAAAAGTTATTGCGGTTTGAAAATTAAAAAAATAGTGTTCTATGAAACTCCTATCAGACTTTTGAGCTCAAAGAGCTCCGTATTAAGAGCTTCGTTTTGTATTAACGGAATTAGCGGGAAGTTGCAGGGATGGCCTTTAGGGTCAACCGTTTTCCTATTTTTTTTTTTTGGATCATTTCGCTCATTTGTGTACCGTTAAAAGAGATATTTTTTATTCGGACTCGATAAATGTCTTCAATTAGCTACATTGATAAATAGCGGTGATACAGTTTAATTGTGTACTAATTTTTTATTGGCATTGCACTTAAGGTAGTACCCCGCGACAATCCAGATAAAAAATTTTGACTCGCTATCCATGTTATACGTATCGACAGAGCTAAGGTTGTAGGTTAAGATTTTTTAACGTTACTGTACTCGTCGACTACTATATTCTCTATACATATACACACACTACAGTTTCAGTGACTAGCGGCTGTTTTTCGTACCCCCTCTCCTAAAAATAATCCTCTAAAAGTGAAATTGATTTTAATTAATCTCAAAAACTATATGGTAGAAAATTTTCATTTTTTTTTTAATTGTTCGAAATATCATACTCTTCAATCTACTAGTTTTTTAATAAAGTCGTGAAATTCCTTCTATGGAAAAAATTAAAAATACTGTCATTTTCCCCCGCTTCTCCTATGTTACATGTACAAAAATGTCATTTTCAATTGCAATTATCTCAAGTTTGGTATGGTAAATCGTCTTCAAATTTTATGTTTTGGATGCGATAGATAATGGAAAATGAATAATAATAATAATAATAATAATAATATTTAATTGATAACAATAGGTCCAATAATATTTATATTCTATGTGTGTGGTTAGTTGCATTAAAATGTTATTTTATTTTACGAGACCAGTAAATTTCACTGACAAACTTTAAAAGGTAATCCCGTTACTAGTAAATGGTTAAGCTGCGCCCTAGAATATAATACACTCCGGTTATTTTTATCACGAATTCAATAGTAAATTCTACAGAAATTTTTTTCAAAGTATAACTTCATAGTAAAAATTTTAATTATTCACACTTTTCTTTTTAACTTACATGTTTTACTTCTTTTTTTGAATTCAATTTAATTATTAAAATGATAAATGTTGAAGAAAAAGACTGGGAGGAAAATAATGAGATTTCAATAATTTATAATTTAAACAGACGGGTAATAAAAAATGGGAAACTTATGACAAGAGTACTGAGTTATTATTTTTTTCTTTTGTGAGTATATATATGTGAAGTCTACTCGACTCAGGACAGTGATCGATGAGCTCCGTCAACAATAATTTTGGTTTCATATGTAAATTTATACGCTGTGTAATTTATATATATCTATATCGAGCTCGTATATTTAAATATCACTGCACAGAGTCTCTACGTAGAGACGCGATTTTTATTTATTACTTTCTAACTGGCGTCTCTATTTTTTCATTGTTATACGATACGAGTTTTTTTTTTTTCTTTTAAAGTTGAGTGAAATTATTATTTTTTTTTTAAAGTTGTTCGGGAAAGTAAAGTGATTTTTATGAGAATCATTTATTATTAAAAAAATTATTAATAATAATGGTAGGAGGTAAAATTATAAAGTTCTTAAGAAGTTTTCACATCTTCAATATTAAGACCATAATTTTGAGTCTTTATCGAACATTTTTGTTTTGTACTTTGACTTCAGTTCATGCAAAAACGATCAGAGTTATGAAAAAATGGAGAACTTTTTTGTAGAAAATTAAATTTACTCCAAGAAAGCTTATTAATGAGAAACTTTTTTGTAAAGAGTTAAATATCCTACAAAAAATATCTCTTATGATTTTTTGTATTTCCAATATTCATCCTAAAATTATGATTTTAAATTCTTAAAACAATTATCATCATTTTCTTATTTTTGGAATTGTTTAAAAAAACTTAAAAAAATAAAATTATACTAATAAAACATCGCATCTCGTAAAAGTAAAAAAAAAATACTCCTAATTTCCTTCAAATAGTTCGTCGTTCCGTGTCTAATTTTAATAGTACAAAAATAACAAACCATTAAAATATTTTCAAACCAAATATTTTCTTTCGCTGTAATTACATCCTACGAAATTAACTTAAACTCATATATTTTTACTAAAAAACTAGCAAAAATTCTTGGCTTGGAATCGAATCCCGGAGCCTAAACTAAAAGAGCTAAAAATAAAAATAATTATCTCGTTGTAATAAAAAATAAAATACAATACAACTTCCTCGCAATGATAATTAAAAAATAAATAAAGGTCCATCAACTGAAAATTAAATTTGCTTGGTAATTTCCGTACACCTCCACATTATATTAAGTTTATATTCCCAGCATTGTCGACTCGGTCTGACTGTACGCTTACCGTTTTCACTTTTTATATAATATGTATATATAGAGTTTCATGCAAGCGCATAAAATGAACCTTTTTTGTATTTACCTTCAGTTTGAATTCTTCCGGAAAAATTAAATAAATTTTTGTTGCATTATGTCAATAATTATCACAATAAACATTTTAATTAAAATCATAAAAAAAATAATAATAAAAATTATAACTATAAAAATAAAAGAAATTTGAGGAAAAAATAGCAGTAATTGTCGAGTGTCGATACGGTTGTTTACTTGCGGTGGTAGAAATTTAAATAATTTGCGTGGAGTTTATTTAAATGCGACAAAGTAACGTGCACTGTATAATACGTGTAGTGTGTTGGATAAAATTGTCGGAATGTACTTAACCAGTGAAATAACTAGTAGACTGTATTTACGTCCACTGCTGGTTTACTTTTCTCGCTATTTTTATCTTTCTCTTTCCTTTTTCTCTCTATTATTATTTTTTATACTTGTTCATTTGGTCACATTGTTAGTTATAGCTTATAG